AATTCCCTGCAATCTGCTATGACTGTGATGTGCGTGCAGTGAGAGCAAAGTGACACACGAGCGTGGCATGACAGCCATGCCAGAAAGGATTTGGTGCTCGCTGCTTGTGGCCAGTTAGCCATGTGAATGCAAAATGCATGGGGCGGTTTGTGAAGAGCTGGTAGTAATCATTTGTGTGAATGGTTTTGACTGAAGAGTGTTTGGCCTTGAATATACAATACAGATTTCTCCTGTAGCAAACCTCCATAAACATTCGCTTATCACAGCTGTTGGCTGGAAGATTCACATTATTTAAAGGGCTTTCTGATATTTGATGCTGTCTGTTTTTGTCTTGGCTCGATACCGTATATAGCAGTGGCAGATTATTAACTGAGAGGTGTATGAAGATCGATATAATATAAAGATCAACACGTCCTTGAGTTTAGTGCTCGTAATTTCATAGGGAAGTGTTTTTTCCCCTCTCCATTTAGCTTGATTATTCAAGAGTTCTTTAACCATTACAACAGAAGCCTTTTCAGAAGAAGAGCATTTTTCTTTCACCCGAGTTGCTATGAGAACATGAATCATCTCTTTAGCACAATAGCAACAACTGTAGTGCTTAAGTACATCCACTGATTTTTTACTGTTTGTTCTTAGCTCTCAACTAGATAAGCTGTTGTTATTTCTTTCTTCTTGAACAAGCATAACATGATTGCTGAAGTAGTAGGAATAATTGGACCAAATAGTGAGGCGGTTAATGTAAACAGAAAGAATTCATCTCTTTCAAGTACAGTAAATTGTCCTCCAAAAATATGGAAATCTTGTCTATTTCTTGTTGTGCCCTAGAGCAAATTTTGTTGAGTTTGTTGTCACATCATTATTTTCGGACTGTGAAATTGCTAATGAGGAACAGGCTGCTTTCATTGGAACACTTGTATATGTTTAAGGCTGCGATGAGATGTACATGGACCAGGCTGCACCACTGGCATGGGAAAGGTTAACGTTCTTGCACTCACCATCTACCACAGGTGTCTGTCCTCACTGCAGTTGTTGCCAGGGAGCCCAGTTGGGTGAGGCTGGAGCCGACTTCAGCTGCACTGAATTAGCTTCTGAGTGAGAGATTATAAACCATGTAATCTGGCACGTGAGGCTCTTTTTGGTAGCTGAGGTAGGAATGAATGCTGTACTGGAGGAGGGCAGTGCCAAGAACTCTTTTGCTTGATCCTTAAGGCTATGAGCTGTTGCTTTAGATGACCTTGGGAACTGTAAGCATGTCTTTAAATTTCTTAACTGACCAGTAAAATAAGTTATTCTGCCCGTGAGAGTGAAGGCAATTGAATGTCATTTATATATTATTTTTTGGGCCATGCTTTTACTTGCTTTGTGCTTACTGTTAAGGGTGGTGTTTTCACAGCAGTTCAGTTTGCTTTGAGGTAAATGGTTTCTCTAGAAAAAGGCCCTTGAAGAGCAAAGGTTGATGGATGTATTTTAGTGTATTGGCATTTTCTAGCTATTGCCTTCCTTCTAAATCCTAGCTTCAAATACCTGCTCTCTAACTATGGAAGGTGTTTGTTGAGATCAATGTTGAGATCAAATGTAGATGAGTGAGACAGCAGAGATGAAATTTATTCTAGATAGGAGGAGACAAGTTGTTGGGAGAAGTCTCTACAGCACTTAAATGATTTGAGGCTACTAGGACACACTAGGACTTATGTGCTTAACTTTAAAGGGAGCTTCTGTTCCATCCTCATTTGGCACCTGTAGTTTGTTAATCTATTGCTCCTTTTAGAGACAAGTAAATGCTGTGCAAATATATTTAGGCAGGTGAGATGTCTGAAGATCAGCTGAGACAGTTCTCTCAACAGCTCTTAAGTTTTAATCGCTTATGGATCTGTAAGTATGTACATCTTCCTATGTGCTTCTGTAGTACAGAAGAATTAGAATTAGGAAAAAAATGAAGGCTTATATTCAAGAAGTGTTTCTAACGCTGTCAAATTATTATGCCAGTAAAACATGTAAAATCTCTTCAAGATCAAACAGATATTTGATGTGGCGATTCTGATTTGAGAGGTAAAAAAAAAAATTATCTGGTATTCCTAGCTTTGAGTATACGAAAGAAATGGCTCTGACCTTGGCTAAAGTAAATTAATACAACTCCATTGACTCCAGGGAAGCGACACGGATTTATACATTGTGATGTATCTGTTCTTAGTAGTTGATGATAAAATCTAGAGATTAGGCTTCTTCATCAGTTTTTGTCTAAGAACTAAAGAAAGATAATAGGACTATGAGTGGGGATATGATTCAGTATGATTCTGTTTTTAAACTTCTAACCTCAGGGAATAGAGGTCTGAATGCTTGCCATGGGTCTTCCTTAGGTTTGATGAACTGCTTTACCATTGTATTTAATTGTTTGCACCTAGTATTATACTTAACAAAGATTATAAGCAATTAAACAAAAGAAGAGCAGTGCTATGACTTTTGTTTTGAGTGCCTCATTAACTCGTATTATGTTGTTAATGTAGGGTAATCCACCAACATTATTTAAACACAAAGATTCCTAGGTAATCTCGTAGAGTGCATTAAGCTTCTAATCACCATTTTTGGGAACTTCCTGTTCATAATTGGGACCTGATGATGTATTTTTATAATGAAATCGGATTTTGGAAAGCATTGAGGGTCCTGTTGCTTCAACACAAAAGCAGAGGCAGTCAATTGCCTTAACAGAAATAAAACCTTAAAAATATAAGTTAAGAAATAATCAGTGAGATAGTTAAGTTTTGGGGAATTAACTAGATTTTGATGGTCTAATCATAATTTGGGCAAGTTGATCTCAAATGCTGAATTACAATGAAATGTATAGAAAATTTAGTTACAATCTGGCATTGCTGCTCTTGAACAATTATGCACTGCAGTCAGAGTTCTGTTTTGTTCTTTAATTTAGTGAGAACTCAGTTGTGGAAACTCATTATATTGCCGTGAGTGTGGGCCTTGTTGCATCTCAATAAAGTGCATGGCAAAGCTTAAGCTAATGGTCAAGGAACTGGGACTGATCCTGATTGCCCTCTTTAGGAGCATATTCTTTGGGGCAGGTCACACTTCATGCAGCCATACATAAACTTGTCCTGGTAGCATGTAGGCAAGGATTGTTTCACAAAGCTGTGATAACCTTTCCTTATGGCACATAAATATCTGACTGCTCAAAGGCATGCTTTAAGAAAACAGTGGAATCCTATGGTTCCTGTTTTATAAATATATAGTATATTCCATCATATACAATCTTTTTAAGAAAAAAATCTGTTTGAAATTAGCTATCAAGAACACTGCTTCAGGCCTTAGCCAGAATTGAGTGACTATGAACTGCCAGTGATGACCACTTTTCTTTGGGGATTATGGCTTTAATTATGGAGATGATTTACCTAATGTGTAGCTTATATATATCCATATATATATGTCATTAGCAAAGCAGGCATCTTGACTTTTGTTTGTGAAATCTGACATGCAATCTAAACTATTTTGTCCCATCTTATCAGTGCATACAAACTCTTCATATGCGAATGCTATTAGCAATTATAGTATTCCTGAAGCCTGATAAAGACTTGAAGCCTGAGAAAGACTTAAAGCTCTGCTGAAATGCAGGGAATGGCTTCCATCTCAGTGTGCCTTGGACTAAAACATGATTGTTTCTGGGTCCTTGGTGTCCCTTGTGAAAATTCATGGGATATTCACCTCTGATGGAAGACCAAGTTATTAAGGCAACAGGGCTGGTGGAGCTTCTGGAGCAAGTTCAAGCTCCAAAATAAGGCTGATACGTGGTTTGAACCAGCTTTTCCTTAGGAGGATTGCTTGTTTTCTACAAATATTTTGTACACAAGCAAAAGGTGAAGAGCCTCTGCCTCTGTGGTGCCCTCTGGGTGGGTGCAGAATGGTGCAGCCCATCCCTGTGATGCAGCAGCACTTCTGCCCTCCAGCTGCACGGTGCTGAGCTCATTGCACGTGCTGCTCCTGCGGGTTCCCTGCTGAGCTGGAGATACAGAATGTCTTAAAGTCTCCATTACAAAAATAAATCTTGCTGATTCTGTTCCACAGAAACAAAAATTAACAAACTCATCGCCAGCGGGATCTTAATTTGATTTTTTTTTTTGATCTTCATGCTTTTAAAGGCATTCATCTTTAAAATCTCTGCATAATAGCAGAACTGTTTTTCCCACCCCTTGTACATAGCATCATCAGGACATAAAATGTTTCTGGCCATCTGAGTATAATAATGAGGCAGCTGTATAGCTCCCTTTGTTTATACCTATTTGGGCTTAGACCTGTTGCAGTGTCCTCTGGATGAACCTTTCTCATCTCAGACCCTGCGATTTGATGTCTGCTCCAAGCATTGGTTGAAGACCAAGTTTCAGCAGTTCATTTACTCGATGTGAAATTTAGTGGATCTAAATCATCACCTTTTTGGTGAGACTTGGCAGTTTGAGGCTTGGAGATCTTGTGGCTTTGTTTTAAGTAATGGCTGGGGCTGAGCTTCAGCCTTTGGCTTTCAGACCTGTCGGTATGTTGCATGGACTTGCCAAGTAAATCACTGCTATTTATGTTATCATAAACCATTACATGTGGATTGTTTGTTTTTTTTTTACAAGAACTAAGTAGGAGAATTACATAGGTGTCTGTATTTGCAGGCAAAAATTGGACAAAGGGTCTCAAATTGTTTAAATTGGTATTGTCTGATTTTAAAGAGCTTTCCTGTACACTTCAGCTAGCTTTTGTTTTAGTGTAATTGTCAGAAGGGAGTTGTTCTCCTCCAGCCTCTCTGCTCATGTTCGAGAATGCGTTCTCTGTGAAAACCTTCACCTGTAGTTAATGTTCATGTAACAATTATTTTTGCTGTGAAACTGTCTCCAGCAAACTGTATTTTAATGAGGCTGTTTTTGTCTTTAAAATGGACGGTCAACTTTATCTGTATGGAATCTGATCTAGGTATTCAGTCTTATTTCTCCTTTTTTTTTTTTTTTGTGTTCAAGTGGACTAGATCTGCCCCTATGTAGGATTGCTATCAGCCAACGTGAATGACAGACTAGGACCTCTGCCTGAGAAATACATTGAGGTATGTGAAATTACAAAGAGAATTACTGATGACCATGTTGCTTTGCATGCAGAAAAAGACAACACCCGTTGTTATGCTGAAATGAACGTGAACTTAGAGGATGTTAGCCTGAGATGACTGCAGCTTTACTGTTGTAGTCTGGCTTGTACATTTTTATCCTGCATATGAGCCTGTGTATACATGTATAACACAGCCTTAACCAGGTTATCACAAGTACAAGCTGGCGTACTATCAAAATGAAACTGAAGCTGAAGTTAAATACATGTGTAAGTGTAATGCACTTAGCTTCTATAGCACAGTTGGGCTCCTGTGGTAATGATACGCCCTTAATTTAGCTTGAGAAATCAGCAAACTCATTGTGTTGATGGTATGACCTAAACTAATCTTCTATCCAGAGTTTCAAAGATGAAAATATACAGAAAACTAATCTAGAGCAGTGCTGATAGCATACGATGGTTGAGAGGTTGGAACGTTATTTAAAAATATTGTAATGTAGCTGATGTAGGATTTTCTGTATTGCAGCATCAGTCATCTGTTATTTGCTTCAGAATATATTTACCTGAAAGAATAAGGCTTAAAAAAAAAATAAAAGCAGGTTTGTTAGTAATCAAGGTGCAGGTTATCATAAATGGTGGCGATATTTTTCTGCTCCTGTTTTTTTTTTTTTTCTTGCTATTACTGGGTTTATGAAATACATAAGATGTATCTATGTAAATCATAATGAAAACTGGCATTTCCTTTGGTACTGCTTTTCACTTCTCTAAGTCAAATAGGAGTGCTACAATGTGCCCAAGCCATTTAATATTATTGTACACAGTAGCTCACATGAAGTAAAACTTAGAGCAGGCCCTATGTGCATCTTCCAAATACTCCAGTAACAGATTGCTGCTCAAAGCGCATTGAACACATCCAAACAGGAAAAATGTGCGAAGAAATCTGACCGAGAGTTCTTTGTTTTCTTGAGAGTAATTTTTCTTGCTTTGAGAACCTGGGCCACAACTTCCATTTCCTAAAGATTTTACTGGCTGGTTTGTAGATTGTTTTTTATTTGTTGCTGTTTGAAGAGCTGATAGACTGTTATTATCTACGCAATATACACAGCCAAATATTTGTATCTCACCATGCTAGGTAATGGATAGAGGAGTTATTATTGTTCCAAATCTGATGATCTTATGGTACAGACATAAAATATAAGCTATGTAACTCTGGTAGTGGGAGAATGAAAGAAGGAGAAGGCAATAGCAATGACAGAGAATCAGTGCTGTTCCCTGCTTATAGATATCTTGCACAAGTTTCCGCGACTGAAAAAACTACTGTCATCCAAAACTTGGCCACAATTGATTGCTGTAGTTTCCAGACTAATCCTGCATGCATCATAGGAAACCAAACTACCAACTTATTTTAAAATGATAGCATAGCATTTGGAAAATTCCTGATTTTCCCAAATAACATCTTGGGTGAACCACAAGAGATGCATCTTACAGGACCACAGTCTGCTCCAGCAAACCTGGAGAGAAACTCCACTGACTCGATGGAAAATTCAAAGGATCCAGGAACTCTGAATCCTTTCTTTTTCCCTTCTTAGAAAACTGCATTGAAATGACTGGGGGGGGATTCTAGTGATGTGCAGATTAGGAATGTTAGGGAAGGTGGAAATTAAACTTCAATCCAACAGAACAAAGAAATCATCTGAAAACATTCTACATCTTTGTGTCAAATCCATCTTTTTGCATGTAATAACAAGTGATTATTCATCTCTTCACACACCGAGTTGGTAGTATGCTTTTACAATCATGGTTCCAAACAGAAAAAAGTTTATTTAACTTCCTTGTCATCCATCTTTGGCTTCCAGTTTTGCCTGGAAAAAAAAAATGAGTGGGGGGGAAGTATTGGAGTAACAGAATTTGAAACCTGACAAATAAATGGAATAAGGATATGTTACACAACACGCACACAACCACGACAGTGGAGCAGGAAGGTACTGTTTTAAGAAAGCTTGCCCACATGAAGAGAAGTTTACTATTCTGTGTTAAATTTCAAGGATCCTTTTTTTACTTGGATCTTTATACTTCTGGGAAGGAAGAAATTCAATAGTTTAGTCCCCCAGCTTTGTTCTAAGATACTGGCAGTCTGATTTTCATGTAAAACTGTATTTGGACCACTGTAGCTAGGTTTAACCACATACTAGATCTTACCAAAGTCTCATACAAACCAACTATCATCTAGTGTATAATTTGCACAAGTGTGAAGATGAAGATTCAAAGGTGTTATTCCTGGCTTGCACAGATAAGAAGTTAAAATGCTGTTCTCAAGATAACGACAATAATGGGATCCAGGTTTTTATTCTGTGGCTGTAAGGAGGTGTCAGACTACCAACTTGATGTTCTTTTTGAAAGTTTATTTTCTTCCAAAATTGTTAGATGTTAAAATTTCTAACAATAGTCACAAAATATGGCTCCTATGCTGAGCCTAATTGAATCTGGTTATTTATTATGCAACATAAAATGTATTTATTACGTGGGATGTGTTCAGAAACGTCTCCATTTACCATATGTTTTCAAAAGTGCTTTACGCAGTGCAAATTGAAAAGATAAATCTGCACAGTGAAACCACCAAGGGTCAGGTAGTCAGTCCAACCTGAGTCTTCGGAGCCAACCACAGCTTAATTCCTCCAAGATGCCTCAGACAGATGCTGCTTTACATTGTGCTCCCTTCTTTCTTTCTCCAAAACTGTTTTCCTTCTGCTGTTCCTGTTTATTTGGTCACCATAGTTTGTGAAGTGTATCCACCCAGATTTTGCTTCTGGTAAGTTTGATAGTGTCTGTGGGATCTCAGTGAACTTCTTTCAACCAAAGACCAAAATGTTGGCGGCCTGAAGTTTAATCATTTGCAAATTTCCTACTGTAATCTTGAATGAAATGACTACTCAGTGCAGCTTCAGATGGGCTGCTGACCTTGTACAGTTGTGTCAGATGAACTTCAGGTTGCAAAATCCCTGTTTAATTTGTTTTGTTTATTTCCAAGCTGCACAGCAACGCTTCATTGACATAGTGGCTGTTGTTGGCTCACAGCTACTGTGATATTGAGCAGTGGGGTTCTGGCCTCTGTGTACTGTGGTGAGCCTCTTCCAATTGCTGCTCAGAAAATAATTGTTCATCAAGGCAGAAGGGTCAGTTTTGACTCTGTGACCTGAGTGGGAAAGGCATATGGTTTTGTCATGCTGTGCTGCTAAGCAGGTATTTAGTCAGCTTTGCCATGGGACTGCTGCTGTCAGGAGAGTAATGTAGAGAATATTCACACATTCAATTTATAGAAAATGTATTGAAAACTTAAACTGAATTGAGTAATATACTTGTTTCAATAAAATCTGCATTAGATCAAGCCAAAACTGAAATATACTGCTATTTAAACAGAAACAGGAGTAAGTATTCACTGGGTTAACTTTAATATTACATTCAGATGTTCTGGAATTGACTGATAGAGCAGATGGGACTATGATGACCAATTCCTAATAAAATATAGAGAGATTACACTTGTTTATCTTTTGTTATTTAGAGCCTAAGGAATATAGAAAAGACAATTTTCACTTTTGTTTCATAGAATTAGGGTTATACTTCATATGCATCCTCCCTCAAAACTTCTCTGGTTACAGTACTCAAGTACCCTTGTTAATGTTACTCATTGCTAATAAAAGCAATGTTCCTTATTTTTTTACAGGCTTAGGGGAGTAGCATAACTCCAGTCTACAGTTAAATTCTGTGCTTTTCCAGTTCATAGAGAATTTTGGCAGTAGGGCAAGACACATGTATATGCATGTTGCATCAACTATTGGGAAAGCTTTGTAAATATTCCTTTACTTATTGATCAAACATGTTTATACAAATAAGTTGTCATTTAAAGCGGCTGTAGTTCTTTTTCTTGAAGATAAAATCAGCATTTTCCAGATGTCCCTCAACTTTTTTTTGCCTTCTCTCCTATATGGCCACTAGAAGATAGTCATCCATTCTCTTTATACTTCTCAAGTTTCCCAGAATAATGAAATATCCTGAGGCAGCCACATCTGCAATCCTATCTAATTGTGGAATTGAGGATGGGAATAACAGAACCAAATTAACAAAGAGCCATCATTAGTAAAGCCACTGGTGGTCAACCATAGTTGATATTGGTTTGTTTTTTAGGCATATGTTGGTGTTTCAGAAGCACTGTATCTGTGATTTCTTCTCTTGCTGAAGGTTCACTTTTAAATGTACAAACATGGAAACACTTTGTAATACCAAGTGCAGTAAGGCAGATGGTGACAAAGCCAGTTTAGTTACATGAGGAGACGATTAACAGAAAGCAAACCGGCACCCAGAAATGTTGGATTTCTAGGCAAAACCACTATCTGGATGCAGAGGAAACAAAGCAAAAGCTTTTATCTGTAAAAGTGACAATGGACAATAAAGATCAGAAGGTAAAGATAAATCTGTTTTACTGCCTCTCTGAGGATAGGATGAAAAGCAAGGGAAAGCACTGCTGAAATGAGTAATGCTATGAGCAGCAGAGAAGCTGATAAATGCTCAGGTTACGTGAACTTGAACAGAACGCAATTGTGAAGTATGTTTGTTTTCTAACCTGAAGTCAAATTGAAGAAATTGTAGATCTTCATAGCAAAGGGCATTCTTGTATGGATTTGGAGACTTCAAAGACAGTGTTGTCAGCAACCAAACCACTTATAACGTTTTTGGTAAAGAGTTGCAGCGAGGGAGTGACTGTGGCAAGTACTGAAGATGTCAGTGTGTCTCCACCAGGGAAAGGTATTGGTGATCAAATTGCTGCATTTGCCCTGTTCTCTCACTAATGGACTGGTTTCTGCTGGGCTGTAGGGCTAGCAGTGGCTTAGTCTTAATGATTTTGACAGGCTGCAAAAATATAAGCAGGTGCTAGTTATGCCACTTTGTGCCCTCTGTCAGTCAGAGACTGTCAGCAGAGAAGTCTACGAATTGAGAAATGCTGTTACT